AATCTTGAGTTCATTTGGAGTGCTATTGAATAGCTCATCTGCTTAAGTTCTTTTCCATAGGAAGTCGTTTTATATCTTATATACAATTAATCTATATTATTATGTTACTTGAAAGTCTATGGAATTGCTTTCGGTTTGTGCTTGAGGCTTCCCGCGCCGCTGGTGCCACACTGCCCTTCCACACTTCCACGAAGTCGTAGAGCTTTCGGTCGATGGCGAAGGGGGTGATATTGCAACTGGTCCAATGACAGGGGAACTCCAAGGCACTAAGTTGATCTAAGTTGTAGGATGGGATCAAAGAGCGAGAATCTGATTTTGATGACGCAAGAGGATGTTCTGTATCGTTTGCATCTACTTTTCTTAATAAAGTTGTTGATGGACAAATCGTTCTCAAGGATCGAAACGAAGTGAAGAAGTCTTGGCTTCAGGCACGTCTGGTGTTGAATGACCCCACGTGGCATTGCCCTCCTCGCTGTGAGCGTGTTGCCTTCCTGCACTATGCAGAATATAACCATTCTTAGGGCATGTCAGGCAGGTCTGCATGTTCTGTTTGTCACGCTTTTGGTCCATAACAGTACTGTTCCAACGTCAAAATGATTGCATGATTTGTTTACTCCAAGCACCTTAAATTGTTTTGGTATGTATTGTTTCGAGACTCCCAAGTTGGGACACGTCGTGCCACTGCCAAGGTTTTTCGCATTGAGAGCTCTTCTGCATGGGCGATGTACACTGCACGCAGGAGCGCCATTCTACGAGGAAGGCGGCACAGTGACGAGTTTCCCCGAGTGCTTCCAAACCTCGGAGAAGAATTGGATCCACGCCGCTTGGCAGATTCCATGAGCCCAAGCGAGCCCGAGCGAGCTTTACAAACTTTAGAGGTTTGCCCAGAGTCATGCTATCCAAATGAAGAACAGTTGGTCAGAGATCCTAAAGGTAGATTTACAAAAGGATCACATGCTGCTATTGAAGATGGTGCAGAGCCAAGACATGTAATATGGCGTTACATTTATTTGGCCTTCATGTTTTTGGACATGCATGTCTCATTGTCATACTTTGTTACATGATTCACATGGTTCTTTTGCTGCCATGCTCTTCCAGCATAATGATGCAAATGCCTAGAATAACTGGGAAGCGCTGTGCTCGCAAACAGCTAAGTACAAAGAGCATGCAGTGTTTAGGGGCAAGTTGGCTGGGTTCAACATGTTACATGCGACACTTGCTGAAGTTGCAAAGTGCAGTTGACACTTGGAGTGTGCTTGGGCCTTCAGGACGTGCCAAAAAAGGGAACCCACCAGCCTTGTGATATGTTTGCATTCTGCTTTGATCCTTTATCAACCTTTATCTCAAAGTATGTTTTTAAGTTGATGTTTACGCCTTGGTGTCCATTTGCTTCAGTCTCTTCAACACCCTTAAGGCAGAAGAACCCAGATTCTCATGAGGTGCCAATGAGCAAATCTTGCTCTATGGTACGACCGTGGAGATGGCGGAGCTTACACAGCTCAATGCGCAGGTACAAGACATTCAAGATCTATATATATGTTTGTTTTTTTGAGCTGACTAAGTAGTACACGCATGCGGAGTTGTTATTCATTTACATCATTTGCATCTCAAGCTTCACTGGCATCAATTTATCTGGAAAATCCATCCTGGCAGATGGTACGGACTCGCACAAGCATGACCCTGATGGGCTGACTGGAGGTTCCGGACACTCCTGATTGTCCTAGACATGTCTTACTGCGGCGCTTTGGGGGTGGTGCCCAATTCTGCGACAGAGGCAGGGTTGCACATACACCCAACTCCTTATGCTTTGCTCTACATGGGATTGGGCTTGCAAGCTTGTCTCGCAACTTTGTCAGATTTGGCTTGTTCTGCCCAGGCTTTCTTGCCCACGAGCAAGCAACCGAAGCTGGTTACAACAAGGAGACACATTTGACTGGAATCGGATTCTCCTGGCACGCCAAGTTGCAAATTCCATGGGCCCGTTTTTGGTTTGGACTCGACATGCCCCACAGTTTGCTTTCAACTTCTTTAAGTCGAGTAGGAAGAGTCTTAATGTCAAAGCTCTTAAAGATGGACAGACATATCTTTCACACCACCCTTTTCTTTTCACTTTTCCTTCCAACTTCTCTTGTTGCTGAAAAGATCAAACGGTTTTTCATGACACACTATGTTCTTCATCCAAGGCTCAGGGTGAGGCATGGAACAAGTCTTGAACACATGCCTTCATGACTCCTTTGAATCATTCAACAAGAACTCTGTATCCAAGAGGCTTAACATGTTGGTCGATGTTTGCTACTCACTTCACAGCATGAAAATACCATCATTCTCTTGCCATGTTTTTAGTCTGTGACTGGTGCAGTTGGACATCTCTCACTGTTGGTACTGATTCCTTCGGTGGGGTGCTGCAGATGGGCAGGAGAATCTGGATAGCCCTTGGGCTGTGCTGGTTTGCCGTGTTTTGCTTGGGAGGCCGACAACGCTCGTTTTACTCCTTCCTTGTATGTTGTTTTTGATGTTTGTTTGCTTGGTCCTGCTGCAACGGCAGGTCTTTGATCCACAATGGCCAACATGCTGGCCCCCGGCTGCACCGCGAGTGGGGGAGCGGCATGTACAGCTCCATCACAATACGCGATTGGCTCAGTGAACTGTCACAAGCAGGAGCAACATTTGCCCTATGTTGGAGACCATCGCTCTTAGGTTGGAGTCCATCCCTATCAGGTTGGAGGCCATCGGTACTAGGTTGGAGTCCATCCCTATTGGGTTGGAGGCCATCGCTACTAGGTTGGAGGCCATCCCTCTTAGGTTGGAGGCCATCGCTCTTAGATTGGAGGCCATTGCTATTAGGTTGGAGGTTATCGCTCTTAGATTGGAGGCCATTGCTATTAGGTTGGAGGTTATCGCTACTAGGTTGGAGGTCATCGCTATTTGGTTCGAGGCCATCGCTACTAGGTTGGAGGCCATCGCTATTTGGTTGGAGGCCATCGCTACTAGGTTGCAGGCCATCGCTACTAGGCTGGAGGCCATCGCTACTAGGTTGGAGGCCATCTCTATTGGGTTGGAGGGCACGGCTATTATTAGGTGTATCCATGGCAACTTCTGTGCCCCAGATCTCAGGCCTGGACACAAGAAAAATTGAACCTGCATAAGCGGTTTGCTGCGTCAATCACTGCAAACAAGTAAAGGTCTTGCACATACACCGCTTTGAAGCATCTATTTTCAACAATACCAGGTACGGGTCTTGTCGATTCAATAGCTCACACTTTTTGTTCATCACGCCTCCTTGTTTGAAGCACGACCACAGTTGCCATAATGTAGGGGATTTTGCACCCCACGCGGTGCAAAGGGCAATCACAATGCTACGTTTATCAGGGACAGGAAGGAAGAACTCATGCAGCTGCTGCTCTTCTGCACCCTGCCCGCCCTCCCTATTGTGGAGGGTCGGAAATGCTTTTTTGCTTTCTCAGTTGTGCCGCCACAATTGGTGAACTAAGGGCCAGGCGGCCAGGCATGTTCAGACCCCCTCTGCAAACTTTGTCGCCAAGAGGCAACTCCACTCCTTTTCAGCCTGCACCATCTTCGTGTAACCTCAGAAGGCACAAACAATGTGTGATGGTGTTTTAGCCACCTTACTACTAGAAACAAGCTACTAGTAGCTCCTGGCATTGCTACTAGTAGCAAGAAACTCCTAGGAGCAAGGCACCCTTGACATGTCAGTGTTGTCAAACTCGTGTGCTCAATGCATGTTGGCTTTACTCAATCTGTTGGATCCTGCTGCAATACCAAATGATAGGAAAACCCGACGCTCATCACACTGACAACAAACTGTGAGTAAAACCCCAAAGAGTAAAACCACAAGTTCATGGCTCCTTGTTTGCGCCACTTGCTCTATAAGGCGGAATTGCAGTGCGTGGTCGCAGTCCGCTGGTTGTGGCACATTGACATGACATGTTGTTAGATTTTGGCACTGGCAATGTCACAAGTTTATCAAGAGATGCAAGAACTTGTGCTGCACGATCAAGGCTCTTTGTTTGTCAAAGAGAGTTTGCCATATTTCAGCTGTAATTATACATACATTTTTCTTTTTTAAGAAGAGAGTTGCCTCTGTCTCTCTCTCTCTCTCTCGCTCGCCCTCTCTCTCTCTCTCTGTGTCTCTCTTTCTCTCTCTCTCTCTCGTTTTTTCTTTCTTTCTTTCTTGCTTGCTTGCTTGCTTTCTTTCTTTCTTTCTTTATCTTATTTTTTTGTGTGTGTGTTTCTCTCTTTCTCTTTCCCTCCTCTCATGTCAAACTTCTCAAATCTTTAGACCAAGTTCCCATTTACTTGGTTAAATGCTTATTCTACCGGATTCCACTGCTTCAAGTGACTTCAACCACATGCCAAGAACTTGACCGCCATCGAGAGTTTCTGTTGCCGCCTGACGTACGTGCGGGCGCTTATCCGGAGTATGTGGTCATATTGCGTTGAGGCAGGAGGCCTCAATCAATGAGCTGCATCGTGGCTCTTTTTTTTGTCCTGTTTGTGTCAGTGTGGTGTTGAGCGGTCATATTCAATGACGAATCCTTCAAATGTCTCATGTCGCAATCAGTATGTCCTTTGGTTTTAATATTTCTTGCCCTGGCCCAAGCACATCCTGGAGGTCTTTGACAGAGGTGATTATGGCGCCTTCAGCCCTCCTAAAGGGAGCAGAGCTGTCTTCGAGGCACCTTCTCAACCCAAACGCTCTGCAATCAATGCCACCAGCCTGACAAAGCTGCGATGCCAAAGAACAGCGCTGCTGCACTGGGTTCCCGGCTCAACATATTTAGGAATATTTAGGAGAAAACAATGTTTTGTAAAGCACAGCTCAATCGGAGTTCTGGAGTTAGAGAATGGGAGCGGTAGTTTTTTCATAGTTTGCCTGAACATGTGATTTGTTGTCATGCCTATAAACAGACCAAATTTCAGGAACCTTAGTTGTTGGTTGGGAAGCTGCACAGGGACAAAACACATTCTGCCCACAATTTGCTCAAGTAGCTCTTAGCCATTTAATGTTGAGCACCTCGGAGAGATGTGCTTTAAAATTTGCAAGTTCTGCTGTCGTGGGCTCCTCCTTTTGGTGCCTGTTGTGCTGGCCTGGCTTTGGAGTGGCTTCCTAGAGCCGCCCGAGCCACTTGCTCAAGCAAATCAATTGTTGACCTATATGTATTTTATATATATATATTATATATATATAAATATTTATTAGAGTCGACCTGACCCGCTGTACTTTGATGACATATTCTATCACGTGGAGTTGTTTTGAACAAAAAGTGTGCATGATTGGAAACGCCACCATCAAAACCATGAACATGTTGCCTAAGACCCTGGGTTTTTAACGTTCGCTAGGTAGGTCAAAGTATGTCAAAGTGTTTCTTTGGTCCACTCCCTGTAGCTCTGGGACAGCAGGGTCTGTTAGGACAGTGGTTATTTTTTTTGTGTTTCCCATGTTGTTCTCATCTCAAGGATCATCAGCTTAAAAAATTGCTTGGCGCCAGGCTGGTGAGAACCGTGGGACAGAGTGAATTTGCACGACCAGAGAACTATGGCAAGTCGTTTGTTGTGACGGAGGAGCATCGAAAAGAGTTCTTTCGGGATGGTGCAACTCTGCTGAAAGGAGTACTCAGACCTGAGGTCGTCGAAAAGCTTCACAAGCTCATTCTGGCCAAGGCTGATGCGGGATACTTCAATATGACAACCGCATTTAACATGTGGATGGACTCGGATGAACTCTTGGATTTCTACCTTTTCGGACCCCTTGGCGGAATTGCTGCCCAATTCTTCAGCAGCCCAGAGTCTGTGACCAGCCACTTGCCACCATCAGCTCAACTGCAACGAGATTTTTTGAGCAGACGACATCAAAACAATGTGACAAATGGCTGGCATATCGATCGAACCGAATGTCAAGGTGGCGATCAGCCATCCAAGTACACTTCTACAGCTCTCCCGAGGCTGGCTGTTCCTTTGGCGTTCAAACAAGGCGTGCGAGGCACACAAATCCTGAACCAAAGTCAGTACGCTGCCGCCATGCGAGAAGAAGATTTTCAGCTATACTGGGCCGGAAAGTCACCATATCGTCGAGAAGGTCGCTTTGAGCCGTGGTTTGGCTACGACTACAACACCAGTTTACCAGTCCTTCCAGGTGTCGAATTGAAGAAAGACATGATTATGGAGCCGTGGATGGATCCTGGAGATGTGGTCATTTTCAACACCTGCTTGTGGCATCGATCGCCTCCATGGACTGGTCCTGAGGTGGAGTTTGCTCTCCAGCCGACCTTTGCACCCTCTTCCCATGTCCCCAAAGATCCGCCCATTTTGATGGATTCGGGAGGAGGTTGGTGTGACCATGGTCTTGGAGAGAAGTCGATTGGCAGGGGCAACCCTTGCTTTCCCTTTGCTTTTCCAGAAACCAAACGCCCTTCCAAGGGTTCAACCTTGACCTTTCGAAGATATCCGACACCGCTACCTCGGCATGTAGGAATGAGCCTCCTGCGCATCCTTGCAATGGACAAGCTGCGAAGTGTTTGGTTCAGATAGAACAGTATGAAGGTTTGAGCTGAAGGATTACTGTAATGCTTCAGAGGGACGATTGACCCTGCTTGCAGAGTCTCCAATTCCACATCAGTCTGTCCAGCTGCTTCCAGACTCTTGAGTCTCTAGGAATCTCTTTACCCAAAAGTGTGACATATTCCGCAAACGCAATATGCCGCTTGAAAAGAGGTGGCACAGGATAGTGGTTTGGAGAAAAGGTGGTCCATGCTGCCAGCAGGCTGCAACAAGGCAAATTGTCAAAGAAGGGGAAGGTCAATGGAACATCACGCTTCCCGATCCATAACGTTCTTGGCATCCACAGGCTTCTCATCAGGTTCAGAGACCATGTTAGTAGGCTGAATGCCTGAATGCTCAAACGAATCTTACACATTTTTCTTTCTGGTTGCAAAGGCATGAATTCAGGGTCCGACCATGATCTTTTCTCAAAATACTCCGAGGGCCCCCAAATCATCCAAATCAAACCTTTGAGATCGTTTTGCAAATTTCATGGGGACAGCCTTTTCAAAGTCGCATTGATGACCAAAATCAAGGCTGTCAAGGCTGCCAAGCTTGCATGCTAGCTCTGCTTGATTCGCAAACACATTATGAAACAATCTTCGTTGTGTGTCATCGCACTGTCAAACTTGTGAGATGTTGACTTAAGTTTCCCTAAACATCTAGGAACCAAATCATTAGCGTGAGCTATCCTGCGTCCAGCTACTAGAAGCTAACTTAGCCTAGTATAGCTTACCTCATTTATATACTTATTAAGTAGGCGCCTACTTAATTAAATAGGAAGGCAGGGCCTCGGGCAAAAAAAATCATGTTTTTTTCTTTATATTTTCTACTTATCATTCTCAGGAAAGGTTTCATGGACATCTGCAACATCAAAGTCTTCTCAAGGTCTCAAGCCTTCATGCGACAGCGCAAGCGAAGAAGAAGCTGCAAGCTGAAGTGCTTTTTCGAAAAAGCTGAAGTTCTTTTTCGAAGCACAAGCTGCACAAGCTGCTCAAGCTCAAGAAGAGTGTCAAGAATACTTCTTGCTCTAACAATCGCTTCTCTTGGCCCTTCCGCCTTTATGCTGAAGCCCTTACACAGTTTGACCACCTCACTGAACTTGCGGCCTGTTACCTGGCCCGCAGCTTGACTGAATCCAAATGGATGTTTCATTGTGATATGATGCTTTACTCTATATAATACATATATATATATTAATTAAATCTTAATAATAGTTGGGCTTGGTGACTTAGTGGTTGCCATTCCAAGTGGTACCAGGTGCTCCGCTTTCTCTTAGATGTTGCTCATTTGTCGCCGTCTTTTGAAGTACCACCGTGCTTCCCATATGGGCTCGACAGAATTCGCTTTGTGTCCAGTTCTCTGCGATATGAACATCATGAACCTTCAGTCAAGCTGATTTCTTAGACACGTGGAATGACTGTGGTTCTGCACGGCCACAGTGGGATAATCAGCTGCACAACACAAAAAGACTCAATCGTATCCTGTGAACAAGTCTCCGTGACACAGGGGCTGTTCTCAATGGTGTATGTGTTGGGCATTTTGATGTACGTTTGTGCCCACTGTAGTTTTTGTCACAAGGGGAAAAGTTGGCAGCCTTTTTATGTGCAACAACAAGTATCATAGTTTGCTCCGCTGAAGTTGTAAGATTGTTGTAAATAGCCCATTTTGCATGCCTGCACATTGTGCAGTGTTGCTTGCTCGCAACACTGAAAAGCAGAGTCGAACATGAGTGGTCAGGTGATGTTAGGTGGATGTTACATGATGAGATGTAGTTACGTTTGTGACTTGCAAGAAGGAATAATTGCGTTATTAAAGTTATTAAAGGTGTTCCTTTTGGCCTCAACTAGGCAACACATGCTTTTGACAATCAACGAGTTTAGAACAGACTATTTGTGAGGCCTTGGTCTATGGAAACACCACCGTATTTCACTATGCATCGAGTCCAACAGCCCAAGGACAGCCTAGAGTGTATAATATAGAGGATCCAAGTTTCAGTGTTTAATCGCATCCAAGTTTGCAGGTCAAGTCTACATTACAGTAAGTCGAACTCCAAGCCGAAGGCTCCATGAAACTAAGGGCTCTTAACCAGTCTGTTTATTGAAAAGAGCCCAGGCTTGAAAGATCCAACAGAATCCATGCAGGACCACGGTTTGACAGAATGCAGGACATGTGGCGCTGACCATTGATGATGGCCTATGCCGGAGTGGAGCTGGGCGGTCGATGGTCACAGAAGTCCGAGAGCTGCTGAAGGAGCTGAACTTGGGGTTGACGGAACACTTTGAGCACAGGCATTTTGTTGGATTTCCTTCTAATCAGAACCAATACAATCTATACAAAGCAGAATGTAGAGTCATACAGTCATACACAGAGCATTCATCCTATGCCAGAAGACAGCCCGAGCAGAGCACATGATTTCTCACTGCCAGCACTTCTTGCTTTTGATGTCCAAGCACTGATGTCAAGGAGCATGGAGCACAAGCGACCTTCTTCCTTTGCAGTGACTATGTCGAGGATCTAGAAGCAGAGGCCAAGCAGCTGCTCGAAGATGGCCACGAGTTTGCAAACCACTGCCTGGCGCTGAGAAACATTGCCCCCCCCGTTGTTCACTGGACAAGAAGGTAAGGTGCTATTGTCCCCAATTCACTGCAAAGGCAAGAACCAGACTCGCCTATGCACAGGTGTGAACTTAGAGAGGTGAAGTCTACATGCTCTTTGATCACTGGAGCGCGCACACACTTCAGACAGAACTCACAGAGAATCTCTGAGATTAGCTCAGAGAGCCATTGCTCTGACTCTTTTTCATTTGAGAACAGACTGGTAACAGGTAACATTTGCCGCGAACGGTTTGTGCAAACTGGTTCAAAAGTGAAATCCATTTTTGGCGATATCACCATTCTCAGCTCCGTGTATTTGGCAAACTGGCAGCACTCCTTGTCAGTCCATTTTGCTCCTGTGCAGGTTGTGCTGGAAAGGATGTGCTAGTGAAGATATATCTTGTAACATGTCCTTACATTCCAGCTGACCCCTAGCTTGAGGTCCCAAAGATGGAGTGGACTACTACAACATGCCGCCGGTCGAATTTGAAACCGAGCTGTTGAAAACTTCCTCCAAGATCCAGGAACTTTGGATTTCAACTCAACTCTTCATGGAAGAGTTGCTTGTGGGTGGGGCGTTTGAAGTCATCAATGTCAGAAGTGAGGACATGTTTGTTTGCGTTTCTTTTTCACAACTGAACATAATTATGTAAGAGCAATATACTGTATACCTTTTGCATTCAGTCATATATTCCTGTAGTGTGTACTGAGGTGTGCCAATTAGTCCACCGTTCTAAGCACAGGAATGCACTTGCCAAAACTGTCCAATCAGGAGCTTACTGGTGCCAATCCATACTGGTTTCGAGCACCGCAGGGCAAGTGCGCTCATCTGGCAAACAAGAACAAATGTAAAATTCAGGTCTCTAGCCATGACAAGCGGATGTGAGTCAACTTGTGTGAAGGTATTCTGGGCAAATGCATGGCTACGTGTCGAAGCACGGCATGCAACATGCACTTGGAGACTGCTATTGTGACGACTGGGCAATTGAGGACGAACCGATTGCAGTGCAGGTGGAAACAAGAGCCATTTTCTTTCTTCAATGTGCAATTTAAAAAAACTGGTACATGGTCTGGCCTGGATTTGGCACTATTGAAGCAAGAGTGATTGCTGTTGCTTTCTCTGGAGTGACGTCGCACTGGTTTCTTGGGCAGTTGGTGCATCCAGAACCAGATTGTACACATAGATCCGTTGGTACATGTTGATACGGCTGTTTGCACGTGCCTGCCGTTTTGGTGCTTTGAATCGGGTTGGTGAGATTCCTAAGAGCTCTGTAGCGCTTTGTGGCTCTTTAAATGACCGTGGCTACATCTATATTTTCTTCTTGGTGTCCTGTCGGTGTTGTATGAGCCGCTTGGGTGTGTGCCATGTGCAGACTATTTCAAGTCATTCGGTGAATATCTAAGAGGTTCAATAAACTAAACCAATTAGTAGACAAAAAGGTCGACAAACGCGCAAAAAGGATCAGACAAATCAGACATTTGACACCTCTCACACCTTTTGCAAGTGATTGGGTCTGGCGCCTTAGTAGCTGTCGATTTCTTGAGTTTTTGGAGCCAAAGCAGACCTTTAGGTTCTGAAGCTTTGTGTTTGAGCAAATGACAACTTTGAACCACAAACAAACACATGGTAGACATTTCTTGGGGACCAAGCAGCATGATTTAAGCGGGTCACCATAGGCAATCCTTGTTCTTTTCGTGGCAGGACTCTCAATGGGTCGCTGGCACCATGCTCCAGCAGGCCCGAGGTGGCTCTGTGATGATTGTCCACATGCCGGAGAAAGGTGCCATGATTCAATTGGGAGAGGGAGATTTGCCGGTCAGGAATGGTTAAGAGATTCACCAACACTTATGCAAGCATTGAAGGAAGGCGTGGAGTTGGCAGAGGTAAGAAAGAGAGCGCGCGAGAGCATGCGAGAGCGTGCGAGAGGGAGGTGGGTGACTTGAGGTTTCAGAGAACATATTTTCAAAGTCGCTTGGATTGAATAATGTGGGAATCCTACGTTGAATGAGACATTCGGACCCACATAGCCAAGTCTCATGACATTTTGCAAACTGCAGGCTCTGGAGCTACTTTTGATAGGCGAGTGGTTTTATTTTGTTCCATATATTTGCGCACGAAGCTACTATATAGTAGCTCCTGGCAAAACTACTATTAGAAAGAAGCTACTAGGGTGGAGGCCATCGCTATCACGTTGGAGGCCATTACTACTAGTAACAAGAAGCTACTAGCAGCTCCTGGCAATACTACTAGTAGTAAGAAGCTAGTAGGGTGGAGGCCATCGCTACTAGGTTGGAGGCCAATACTACTAGTAACAAGAAGCTACTAGTAGCTCCTGGCACCTGGCATA